CTCAGAGGTACGCACGGTCGATGAGTTCTCAGTGTCAACATAACAGGACCAGCGCCGACAGAGAGCTCCTCCCACCGGACCAAGGCCGACTCGCTGCTGCTCTCCCAGTAAGTTAAAAGAAAAATCATAGCGCAAGCTTCGGCGCTATGTATCGGGGCATTTTGACAAGTACTTGTCAAAATGCCCGGTATTGGGCCCGATTCCGGTATCAGGACACCCCTAACTTCACCAATACTCCCCATCACCCAGGTCAACCATCGACATCACTTTTTTGAGATATTTTAACTTTTGAATTAATTTACATAAAATTCTGATAAATTATTAAAGGTTTTTATATATATATATATATATAGATGGAGCTTTCTATGTATATACAGTATTTACATACATTCATAAGAGGAGGAGTAAACGTCTTGTTCAGAGGCAGGCTGATGTGAAAGTAAGATGGCGGGGGGGGATCCCTGTCAACCCCAGACACCAGAAACTTGATACGTAGGAGCATTTATGGGGACGATTGATCTGATTCAGAGTTCCCCGCATTGATAGTTGGATATCTAAGCTGTACGTATAGGGATCAATCAGCTACACTTGGCAGCGGCGATTTAGTTTATAACGGCCTTGTTGGATATTGGCCCAAAAATGAAAATAATGCCTGGGGCTCACCATTTTTTTTTTATGGCGACACAAACTTTACCATTGATACAAAATAACCACATAAGAGTCCATTTAAGCTTCCATTAGTGTTAACGAACGGCCGTAGCGGGCCTGCCTTTGACACAAGATTGTCTGATACACACAAACGTCTACATTGATAAGGAATGCATGGATGATTAACCCCTTTGAAGCCAGAGAGACCTATAACTATATCACAAAAGCAGCACTATCCAGAAAATTCCAGCAACAAAACGGTTTAAGACAGCTTACAGAAATTTGTTTTTGCTCTGTTTACAGAAAATAAACACTATTTGTTCTCCGATTTCCAATAAGGCAGAATCCATCTTTAAAATAATAAACAGCAATATTTAAACCTCAGGACACAATCGCACAAAAAAAAAAAAAGAAAAAACAGATTTTATTTTTCTCATCACACGGACAAAAATTATCCTGATGATATTTTATTCAGTGGTCGTCCGGGAGGCACTGGAGGGGTGAAATGCACCAGATATTTTAAAAAAAAGTTTGTACAGGTTGGTTTTTGGTAGAAAACTGAAGAACGCGTTTGCAATATAAAAATAGATTTGATGAGGACGCTGTTGTGCGGTAACTGAACTTTTTTTTTAAATAAAAAAAGCCAAAAATCTGCAGTATTTTATATATTACAGTATAAGAAGGAAGGCTTTTTTTGTTGTTTTTTATCAAACAGAAACCGAGGCAATCACAGCTTAATAACAAGAAAAAAAATGGCAATATTGGAATACATTCAATATATAATCTTTCAATTGATGAGGCATATAAATCATCTACCAATGTGGTATAAATTCTTTCTGGTAAATGTATCCTTTTGTATTATTTTTAATATTATTATTATTATTAAATTGTTTCTAATGATTTTTTTAAACTTATTTTTATAGTTTTGAAAGGAAAGGGCTTGCAGCCTCCTAGTTAAGAGAAATTAACGCATGTGACATGAAAATATATGATAATTTGGATATGTGGATCCTACACTGTAGCTTTGTACATATTGACAGTTTAAAGGAGCAGATGTACATAAACTAGCGCTACTTTTTAAATTTTAGCGGAAGACTATACTTTAATATTTTTACGTTTATATTTTTTTTAATTTAATGTTTTTATGTTGATGATTCCTCTTTATTTTTGCTTTTTTTTAAATTATTATTATTACAGGGATACAACAAAAAGATAAAACATAGCACACCCCACAACAAAAATAAAAGTTAGTTAGTGGGAAATACTGTAACCCTTGAGCCTGTTTCTTGAAAATATTTTGTTTTCTTATCCTTTGAGATAAAGGCAGCTAATGATTTATTATTTTTTTTAGCCAGCATGGGCCCCATTTTGCATAGCAGATCCATGAAAAAAATGGCCGACTGGTTTACGATCTGAAGGACGGTTTTTGGCATACCAATAAGACAAACGGTGTTACATTCTTTGTTAGAAAACTGTATGGGCCAATATATATTTATATATAGTACATAGCATATAACAGGGGGTAGGCAACCTTGACTCTCCAGCTGTTGCTGATCTACAAGTCCCATGAGGCATTGCAAGCCTCTGACAGCCACAGGCATGTCTCCCAGAGGCAGAGGTATGATGAAATTTGCAGTTTCACCACAGCTGGAGTGTAGGCTACCTCTGTCATACAACCGATACATGTTATTTTTGCTATTACTAATAAATACTGGTGTGGTTTCTGCTCCTTAGAAGTTCTGCATCCAGCTATAATGCCAATAAGCGATGCCTATTTTTCAAATTGTTTTGGGAAGGGGGTTTAAAAAACTTTTACTAAGAAATGGAAAAGTCTTCACAAAAAGTGACAAAAAAATAAACATTTATTTAAATATATCAAGCAGTAAGGCCTTGCAGGCAGAGTATGGGAAATAATCGTTTTGCCACAGCAAGAAGTCTTATATGCCCTAGCAGCATGAAAGGATGTAACTGGTTACCAATAGCAACGCACCATTGTCAAAAATTTCAGTCATTAGGTCCAATCTTGGGCCAAGTGTATTCTTTCACCTTTAATTATATATTTAACTTTCTTTCGAGAGGCAAGCCTCACTTCGGCTGAATTTGAATGCATGTACAGTGTCACAAACCAACCAATCAGATTTTATCTTCCACCGGTTCCATCTATTGTAAAATAAACTCCCATTGCCTGCAGTAGGTTATTGCAATTCCATCTTTTTTAAAAAAAAAGGCCCTCGTGTTTGGTGAAGACTTAGTTGGCCCATATGTTTTATCAGGATTAATGGTGAATCTTTGGAGGAGAAAGATTGTCAGATTGCTTCTCCAAGAACCCTAATTTTCATGATCATGGTAGATGGCCATGTTGTGTCACCGTTCAGTAGGACTAATATATAAAATCTTTTACAAAAGTTGAATCTCAACCAAGTTACCAATCTCAACCAAGAGTTACCAATTCTTTGCAGAGCCTGAAGGATAAAACCTGACCAGAGGCTATGGGCAGCTCTTCCAGTATTGCCTCAGTTTTTGTAAATCTGCCCCACAGTGACTCTCCAGGTCCATTCTCTACATCTACATATATTGTTTTCTTGGGAGTGAGGATTTATCTAGCAAGATGGCTACCAAGTAGTAACTAACAATACGGCTGCCACTGCTAGTTTGAGAATATAGGTTTAGCCATCAAGATGGGTGCTTGGAGAAACCAACATCATTGCTGCCTCTTGAGACTGTTGGCTTAGCTGGCAAGATGAGTGCCTAGTAGTAAGCATCAACATGTCTTCCTCTGATTTCTTGACAGTATACTGTAGGTTCAGCTAACACGATGGCAACTGGTACTTAGCTAGCAAGATGACTGCCTAGTGGTAAGCATCAACATGGCTTTCTATGTTTTCTTAAAGGTTCTGCCAATAAGATGGCAACTGGTAATAACCAACAACATGGCTGCCTTTGTTTCCTTGAGAATGTGGGGCTTAGCCATCAAGATGGATGCTGGTAGAAATTAACAATATTGCTGGCTCCTGAGACTGTAGGCTTAGCTAACAAGATGGCTACTTAGTAGTAACCATCAACATGGCTTCCTGTTTTCTTGAAGGTTTTCCCAAAAGGTGGCAACTAGTACTAATCAGCAACATGATTGCCTTTGTTCTCTTGAGAACTTAGCTAGCAAGATGGTTCCTGGTAACAACCAACAACATGGCTGCCTTTGTTTGCTTGAGAATGTGGGCTTAGCCATCAATACAGATATTGGTAGAAACCAACAATATTGCTGACTCTAGAGACAGTAGGCTCAGCTAGCAAGATGGGTGCCTATTAGTAACCATCAACATGGCTTCCTCTGTTTTCATGAGGGTTCACCCAAAAGGTGGCAACTGATAATAATCAACAACATGCCCACCTTTGTTCTCTTGAGACTGTAGGCTTAGTTAGCAAGAAGGCTAACTTGTAATAACCATCTACATGGCTTCTTCTCTTTTCTTGAAGGCTCACCCAAAAGGTGGCAACTGGTACTAACCAAGAACATGGTTGCCTTTGTTCTCTGTGAATGTGGGCTTAGCTAGCAAGATAGTACCTAGTAGTTACTAACAATATGGCTGCCTCTGTTTTCTTAAGCACGTGGGTTCCACCAGAAAGATGGCTGCTGGCAGAAACCACCAACATTTCTGCCTCGGTTCTCTCAGTGCGGACTTAGCTAGCGGATTGCCTTCCGAGTAATATCCAACAACAAGGCTGCTTCTGTGCTCTTGACAGTATGGGCTTAGCTAGCAAGATGGCTGCTGGTAGAAACCAAGCATGTGGGTTTAGCCAACAAGATGGCTACCCAGTAGCAGCTTATAAACAGGATAGCGCATGCACACGGCCGGATATTATATATCATTCCTTTATGCCACATTGAAAAACCTCTAAACATATTGAACCTTTACAAAGTCGGACTATTTTAAAAAATACACATTTACTGTACACATGTTGCTATTTCTTCTATATATTTAGCACCTTTGCTGGGAGGACGATTGACGAGGCGTGAGTGATTTCCTTACAAAGTGGCCGACTATAATTCTCTGATGACTTCATCTTTCGTTCTATTAAATGATCATTTGACTTGTACTGTAGGTACGTCGATAGATGCAAACCTACCAACCCAAAAATCAGACTTCAAGGGGAAAAACAAAAACATAACGGAATCAAGTTGATTAATACCCCTCTTTCCCTTCCCCCAACCATATAACCGTTAACTTCCAGAATGTGACGCAGACGCATCCCCTGGCTCTTCCAGGTGACGAAGCTTCATTCACAGCCATGTTAAATAAAACGTGGAGTACAACTGTCCAGTCGAAAACCGAAGGTCTCTTTTTTTGTTTTTCACACACAATAAGTTACGACGGGGAGACGGACAAAGTGCTTTGGGCTTCAACTTTGATACGATCGCATTCAGTTTGATAAGCGGGTGGCGCGGCTGCTCCTCGGGAATCTGTGCACCTTGACGTGTTTGGACAGGTGGTCGCTGCGGGCAAACTTCTTTTCGCAGACGGCGCACTGGTACGGCTTGACCCCGGAGTGCGAGCGGCGGTGTCGGGAAAGCTCGTCGGATCGGGAAAACCTACGAGAGGGGAAAAGAAAAAATACTTTAAATATACGAAACTCGGTCTAGGATGCATTCAGTTTGCACAACATTGTCCAGAATTTGGAACTCCAAGCAAACATTTAAATACACAGATGAGATACAAACAGGTATCTGTTTTACTTGCTAAAAGAGTTTTACTGTATTTCTATCCATCCAGTCCTGAGATTTTACACAGCTGTGCAGCAAAACACAGCCCTGCCTGGCAAGCCAGAAGACTTGATTTGTTCTCTGCTGCAGTTCAGTAATGCTTACAGGCCTTGTCCCTCCCCCTAGCCTTTGACTGGACAGTGAAAGGAGAAGCAGAAGACTGATAAGATCATCTCTCTGCTCTTACCTCCTATCAGTGTGTTCCTTGTTAGCAATGCAGAACAACTTATTGGTTCATTGTGCTGCTTCTCCCTCTCCCATTCTTAACTCTGCTGTACAGGAAATGCAAGAGGCTGATACCAGGTCATTTGCCGGTACTTAATTATGTATTAATAGATACAAAGTTGCATTATTTTTGTAACTTACATCTGCCTGGAGATCAGGTTTAAGTGACATGTTGGATGCAGGCAGCGAAATAACCAACTTTGTGTATAGTATCTATGATCAGTTTTAGGTGGACTTGTGAGGTGCCCACTGTGCCCAATGGGAAACATCTAAATCTTGTTAGATGCTGGATCTGCCAAGCTGTCTTTGCTGGGTCAAGGGATTGTGGTAGGCAGGTCATGCTTTGCAGACGTATGGGTTACAATCCTTCCATAGGGACCACCATCAGTCACCAGGTTCCAAAAAAAAAAAAATTAGGAGCTACCTCTGCTTTCATGCATGCCAGCAGCCAAAGGGTTAACCCCAAAACCTTTTGTCCATGAAGTGACCCCTGATCATCAATGCTGGCTACCTCCACCTCTAAAACTTCTTATTTTCTGCTAATGATACTCTTATCCTTTATGTTTTTGTACTTTACTCCTTTATATATCATCAACATATACCATGGCGATATACACAGAGAAAACCGAACCAGTCAGGTCTTTGCTCACAACAATCTAATGTCCCTGCCGCACTCACAAGCACACATAGTGGTGCCAATTTAGCCGAAGGCAGTTTATTGTAACAGAAGGTTAATGAATTGAGGGAGGAAACTGGCACACCTAAATAACACCCACACAAACACGAAGAGAACATATAAACAGATTGTGTCCATAGTGGGACTTGAGTGGAGGACCCTATGACTTGCAAGGGCAAGCCATGTATCCATCATGTGGATAGGTGGAATGTACAAAAATATACACATTTATGGTCCTGTGTGTATGATGACCACACCTGACATGCAAAATCTAAATGTGGGTTCCTGGAGCTGATGGGTAATCTCACCCTATGCCAAGCGACAGCTTTAGAGATACCGTGGTCAATATCTGCTAATCTAAGCCCCAAGGAGGTCATATCCAGAGTCTCCTGGATGATGCTTAATGACAGGATGGCTGCTATACCGATTGATGAAATGGCCTCTTTTATGAAAGTATGGCCCCATGGATTCAGCATTACTTACCTCCAGATTTTGACTGTTCTCTACTAACTCTCTAAATCTGATTCACCAGAGACGCAAGTTTGGCCTAATGGCTCAGACTGTCTCCCCAGCCGCAGACCCTTTGACCTTGTAATTCCCCTTAGCTTACCCTTATCTTCTTCCTTTCCTCTCTTCCACACCCACCATGGCCATGATGGGCAAATTTTCCACCAGACACGCAAGTTTGGCCTAACGGCTCCGATTGTCTCTCCAGAGGGTCAAACCTTGTGACCCTTTCATTCTCCATCTACCCTTTTACCTTAGTTGGCCCCTTATTTTCATAATTCCCTCCCCTCTGCACCCACCATGGCCTTGATGGGCAAATTTTCCAGTTGAATGCTTTTGATTCAATGTATCGGAAATTTACGCATATTACATTCTACTTCTGCAAATCTATATGAAGGCCATCTTCAATCTGTAATATGTTCTCAACATTGGGTCACCTACATCTGTTGTCTAAATGTACACTTGGTAAATACCTCAATAAAATTATTGAATGGAAAAAGATACTGCAGTACTGTTTTGAAAAGTGTATTTCTTTATCTCTCCAACATCTGCATCCATTTTTCTGGAAAGTGAATTTCAGATATATCGATGACGTACTCAAAAGCTGGAAGCGCTTAATCGAACGTAACAGCCAAATCCCTCCTCTTGGCTGAACCTATGATCCCTTACAACGACCCTAATTATGAAGAAAATGAAATAATTTGTAATCAGATTTTTTTTAAGCCAGAATAGCTACAGTATGTGCCAAATGTATTTAAAGGCACGGCTACAGGCTGTGAAAGCGTAGAGCTGCGGCAGAGGAGTGATATACAGATTGATTCTTCATTTTTGACCTTAGATACCCTTTAATATAGATTTCAGGAAACCCCCTTCTAGTAGTTATCATTCCTATAGCTCATGGTACATTAACACGGACAGTAAGGGATTTATTTTTAAAGCAGTGAATGTGACTTTCACCAAACTTACTCTGGTGGAGTATCAACCACTGTCATTCATTTGCACCTGGAAGATTCATCTGCAAAGGATGTTGGCCAGAGTTCCAGAAATATATATTTATATATACATACACAGTGGTGTCTTAGGCTGATGCATGGGGTATGGGGAAACTCTGGCCGCCGTCGTTGAGGAAGGTGTTAGGGGGTCTGGGTTAGGGGGATTTACCTGGCCGACGTCCAGCCCTGGACGTCGGCCAGGTAAATATGTATGGCGTTTACCAGGGCTGGATTTACTCTCTCTGCTGCCCCAATGCCAGGTTCCTCAATGCGCCCCCCTGTATGCAGGCTGCATACAAGTGATCTTGGCGACCTCTCCGAGATCACTTGTACAAAACAGGCAGCAGCTTCCCTGCTGTACATTTGGCCCTGCTTGCCCAAAGCAGGGCTAAATGTAGAAAGCAACTACCCGCCCGGCGCCTGGAACTGCATGTCCCTGGCCTCGGGAGATAGGAATTCCACACCCCCGCTGCCCCTCTACTCCTTGCTGCCCCGAGGCCGGGCCTCAGTTGGCCTTGTGGAAAATCCAGCCCTGGCCCTTACACATCTACTGACACGGCTCTGAGCAACCTAGGCCCCTATGGCCAGAAAGGGGGAAGCAGGCACACTGCAAACATTGTGCAGCACAGCAGCCATCCCACTCTGCCCGTCGCCAAAGAAATGCCACCTGAGGCTGCCTTATTAAAGGGACAGTCCATTGTGTGTGTGTGTGTGTGTGTGTGTATATATATATATATATATAGAACAGTTGCAAATATTTGAAAGATATATGTATTTTAAACCTGTAAATGTTGTGTTTACCTTTGCCATATAGTAAAGCCGTGTTTGCCATCGTTCAGGTTACTGGGCAGGAAATCATCGGTGTGTAGGGAAATATCTCTCACCATAAACAAAACTCTATCTAAATTACATTCAGCTCAGATAAGTTTCAGAGACTTTTATATCTATGACTGTATGTATTAATCTTTAATATGACCCAAGCTGTACTTTAATTCCCCTTCTACAGGTGTGAAGTCCTATCCTGCATAATAGCATGTACTTGTTCTAAGTACAGAAAAAAAACATGATTTGATAGATTGTATCATGTGTTTTTCCTCTGAACAATTTCTAGGAACTCCTGTGACAACAGATCCACGTTGTGAGCATCTCTTGTTGCATCACAGAACAATGTGACGCTCTGCTCATCAAACCAGCTGCCACTGACTAATACCGGAACCATCCCACCTATTCCATAGAACTAGTCACATTGGATATTCACAATTTCCTCTAATGTATCCAGTGTCAAAAGATGTGATCTTCTTCCACCAGCTGCCCCTTTCCTGACCCGCGTAAATGGGCGCAGAATCAAAATCTCCTCTCTCCGCTCTTCCCAGCCTTTGGATTATGATGTGGAATGTAATTTTCATGGTGATACGTTACAGAGAAGCAGGCTGGGGTCGCACATTGTGCGTGACGTTTCTGATAACGTGTCCAACCACCAGATGATTACACAAGTCTTTGTTGGTTACTCTGGTGGGAAAAATAGATTTTTATTGTTGAGTGGAAAGCTGGAATTGACTTGGAAGCGCAGAGCGGGTCAAGAGCGATTCCGGTCCTGCATGTGAGAACAGTAAACCGCTCGCTTGGTTCAGCAAACACTGCAGCTGCCAGAAAATTGATCTCGGCTTACTTTAGTGATGGCAACAGATACCAGAGACCTCCTTGCATGTGAGCTGGATGGGTTGCATTCTGAATCTGTGCTGTGTAGCTATTTCATTTTGCTTTTCTCAAAGAAGCTTTCAATCTGATTTGTGACTTTGAAAAAGATCTTAATGCTCAGTTTTTTTTTTGCAAATCAGGCTTTCTGTAGGTGAGATACATACTTGGTACATCTCTACAATAGGTGCACATTTTTTTTAGTCTTTTGTCCCTTTAAAAGCACAGCAAGTGTGGTGCGCTTCCTGACTATGGTGGACCTGCATGATGACCCGGCCGCCTGCCTACTGCACATGCCCAGACGTTGACTGACTAGCTACAGATCCTCCCTCACGGTACATCTTGTGAATGCTGCTAGGGCCTGTATTCCACTGTTATGGAAGTCTCCCCAACCTCCCACTATACAGCTTTGGTACTCCAGGGCGAACGACACCTATGGGATGGAGGATTTGACTGCCTCCCTGAAAAACACTGAGGAGCCGTTTAACTCCACTTGGAGATCGTGGGTCTGCTTCCGTGACTCGGATTGTTATCTCCGCCACATGTCCGCGTAAATCATGACTAGGCCCTGACCTCAGAAGGAGAATTACTTTCACCTGACTTCTTAGGTGATGGATGGTAGGGCGACACCTGAGGCGGGGGTCCTGGCTCCTCGCTCCCTCTCCAACCCCATCCCTTTGTCTTTTACCCTACTGCTGTTATCTCCCTCTACCTTGGATCACTCTGATCTGTTCATCTCTGCTTCTCCTGTTCAATATTTGCTCACGCAGTACAGAAGGTATGTGCATGGGAGATTGCAGTCCTATAGTGCAATCCTCAATAATATGGGAGCTAGATATCACATTTTTCAGTATATTCTTGCTACTTTCAACCATGCTTGCCTGCCTTAGAGTGCCTAGAGTACATGGCTTTCCAAAGTGCTTTCCGCCTAGCGGTTTCCCCACTACAGGATGATGCAATGCTAATTCTACGGTAATATACTTGTACTTTTGATACCTCTCACGCCTTCTATTTTTGACAGTTTTTTAAACTTACTTTATGAATGATTATTCAGACTCTACTTGTAATGTGCTGTATGCTTATTGTATTACCTGATGTCATCAATAAAAGTTATTGAAATTTAAAAAAAAAGCACTGCAAGTACAAAACAACGCCTGACGATCTCCCAAAAATCCATTGAGCTCCAATGAGCTCCTAACTTCCTTTGGTAAGCACTTCCCCTGCTGCACTGAAATTCCAAACAGCATTATCAGCCCTCCCTGTATTCTTCCCTGCTGGAATACAGATCCTCCCACCTTATTTTGTAGAGATGAGGAAAGAGGGAGGTGTCCAGCAGATAAGACCTGAGCAGTGCCAACTACACTGTTTGTGATTTCACTGCAGAAGGGGCAGTATTGTCATTAAGTTGGGTGCTCACTGGATTTCTGGCAGATAAACATGCATATTTGTGTTCTTGCCGCATTAAAGGGCCAATCCACCCAACATGGGTGTTAGTGTAGTGAGTGAACTTGAATCAAGATGTCACCATGTCACCGGCACGCCAGCACGAGAATTCCAGATCAGTGCAAATCCATTTATTGATAAATGCCGCTCGAATGACAAGCGCTTTCAGGGCCGCGCTGGGTCCCCTTCATCAGGCTCAGAGATGAAGGGGCATCACTGAGCCTGATGAAGGGGACCCTGCGCGGCCCCCGAAAGAGCTGGTAATTTGAGTATCATTTATCAATAAATGGATTTGCACTGATCTGGAGTTCTCGTGCTGGTGTGCTGGTGACATCTTGATTCAAGTTCTACTAGTTGCGGTGCCGTCCGCAGTCATTACGAGCACCCGTTAACTTTGGGATATCATATGGACACTGTTAGTGTAGTGAGTGGGCACGAAAGTATCCCTTTGTAGACCTCCAGCCGATTCTCTTTCATCTCCTCTACCCTGGCAAGTGGATTTTCTCCTCGTTTATCAGTAACAAGGAGTTGAGCCTGTCAATTAGGCTAAGTAAATAATGTATAAAATACGGCATGGCGCAATGTACAGTGCCAGGGAGGGGTGTGACAAACGTCTGTCACTACGGCGTATTGCTGATTAAGAGCCTACAAATCACCACAATGTGACATCATCAGCTGAAGGGATCATACAATATTGATGTGCGGTCTAATTGTCTTTTCTGTCTGTGCAGTCTCAGTCTCCTTTTACAGGACCTTGTCACTCTCCCTGCCATGGGCAGACTTCCAAAATTGAAAGTTGTGAAAGACGTATGTTCTGAGCGCTGTAGAGTGCTCATTGTGCGGAAGTAGGCCGTAACACATAAAATGAACTGCCTTAGCGAAGCAAGTTGCTACAGAATATAGTATTTACTGTATAGTATATATAGAGCACAGAATATGTATATATATATATATATATATATATATATACACTTCAATCTGAAGTTAGGGACTGATGTTGCACCAGAAGACCCAAGGTCTTCAATAGTGTTGAAGCCATGGCATTGCACAGGCCATTTCGGTTCCTCTACATCAGACCCATCAAACAACTGTCTTTATGGAGAAGGCTTGGTTATCCTGGAACAGAAAAGGGCCTTCCCTGAAGGTTGGGAGATCACAGTTGACTAAAATGTTTTTGGGCGCTGTGGAAACACTTGAACTCAGTCATTTGGTGCAGTACCCACAATATTTTGACAATACAGGGTAGGTGTAATGGGAATGTGGCAACTGCAGGGTATGGCTTCCTTGCTTGGTTGGGTGCAGTCTACAGATACACACACACACATAAATGGCCAGATCAGGTAAACATCCCTTGATACCTGTAGGTACCTTATGAGCTAGGGTAGTAGAAGTCATGGTCACGGGCCCAGGAGTAGTTGTTGCCACTTGGCACCCTTGACGATGAGATATGTAATGATCTGAAGTCCTTCAACAAAAGGTCCATGAATCATGACATTATATTCACCCACTCAGCAGACCAAGCCTCATAAATGCAGCTAAGCATATGATTGACCGTATAAAACAGATAAGTAACATTGGACGCACATCCGCGGGGTGTTTAAGTCACGGACAATTTTTCACAAGACCACAACTTGCGTAAGAATGACTTTGCAGTCAGACGTGACCTTGCAGGCTGAGAATCCATACCACCGGTCAGGAGATCTGTACAGTAAAATGTGTAACCTGTCTCCACAGCAAGCCCATGCTGTGGTTTATTTAGGTTACACATCACGCGGTCACTATTTTCGGCAGCTATTGAGCGTGGTCATGTTAAGCATGAACACTGACACCACTTCCCCCACCCAACTCTCTTCACTTTTCAAAGACAAACCTTTTGGCAGGTTGCTGTCATCTCAGCAGTTAAAGTCACGTATGAGTCACCAGAATACAGTGTGCCCTGACATTGCAGGTCACATGTTCTAACAGGTTGTGAGGATGCAGGTTAATGCAGATCTAATCTGAGCCTGTTAATACAACAACACTGAGAGTTTACTACAGGTTACAAACACAAGTATCCTCTCCAACACACCCAGAGCAAATATCTGTTTGGTATGTGTGTTATCAGGCAAGCTACAAATGATTGTCTCTTACGGAGTATAAAAGTTCTTTTCACACACCCCTGGAAAGTAAAAAGGAGCCTTTTAAAGTGATTCCATTGATGGGGCAAATTCCCTTCCAGTTATGGCCGTTTTTACAGACGAGGGCCAGCAATGGTGTCAATGAGAAGACCTTGTTCCCAAAGTGGAGTTCCCGCCCTGGCAAATGTTGTCTGTTGTTGCTCTTGCTTTGAATAGAGTTTGGTAGAGCTAGAACCTATGTTGAGCCCTTTACATGTCTTTATGTATTAAGAATTAGCCTCACTTCCTGTTGTGTCAAGTAAGACAGGACGTGAAGGGAAATCTCTCCAATGGGGAACAGGTAGCAATATAAACACCCACTTTACTTAAGTAGGGAAGAATATAGCCTTGGTCTTGGTTTTGTTGCTGCCTGTGTTGAGATTTTCCTTTACTTCCTATCTTGTGTGGTCACCGGGACAGGAAGTGAAAGGTGAGCAACAACGACTATTGAAGGAAAAAGCCAGCTGACCACGTGCATGAATAACAACTTACCGAAGAGCCATGTGAGACCAAACCAATGTTTCCCCATCAAGTCAAAGTGACAAAACAGATTGGGCAACCCCATGCCCCTGAAACGTTGGTTTGGTCTTACATGGACTTTCTCATTCAATGGATTTTTGACCACACCACCATTTTCCGAGCATCCACCATACTGTGGCGATTTGGAGGCAGTGTGGCACAAGTTGTTGATTCTAAGCAATTACAGCCAGACAGAGGTCCAATCTCTCTCCAAATATGGTTTCTAAAAATCTTTCAGGGACTGTCTTGGTAAGACCCCTGTGCTTAGGTTCTGCCATGTTGATTAGGAAGAGCTCCATCAATCAAAATGTCAAATACACATAATTTTTTTTAACATTTTCCTTAATTTGCATGTATATTATTGATAATATAATATCTAAAAAATTGGCAAAAGGATCTTAAAATTTATACTGACCTCCAACCACACCCAGGCCAAGTACATGCAAAGGGCTTTTCTCCTGTATGTCTCCGTAGGTGAGCTTTGAGATGACTGCTCTTGGTATACATTTTGGTACATCCAGGAAAAGTACATTTGTGCATTTTTATCAGTTCAGCAGCTGGGTTTTTTTGGAATTTCTGACCCGACATGTGTCCAGATTGCCCCTGACATCCACCTCCGGGGCCCATGGGTTTAGCAGCAATGGGCACGGGGGCAATTCGGACAAATTTAGAGGACATGTTTGATGACTGGATCAGCTGTGGGACCAGAGCAAATGTCTGGCCTTGGATGTTCACCAGAAGTTGGGCCACTTTGATATTCTCTGGAAACTGTGTTGGGGAGGCCTGGCTGGTGTTTGACTCTTGTTTGATCTCTATGGGCTGGATCTGAAGTATAACCGGTATCCCGCCCTCCACAGTGAGGGTGTCCGAGCTTGTACTGCTAGACTCTTCTTGTGAAAAGCTTTGGGACTCCTCTTTTGTATCCTCTGTCACATTATTGGCGACCACCATAGGGGCCTGTTTGAACTGCTCAGAAAACAAATGACCACAGTTCCTCAATTCTCTAACTTCATGTTGAGTTTCAGCGTTGAAGTCGGTGTTCATTTTCTCCTCCAGAAACTCCTGGATTTCGTCCAAGGTAGGATGAAAACATGGCGTCTCCTCTAAGTCCACCCCAAATTCCGGGACTCTGAAGAACTCCTCTTTGACCATTGTCTGTTGATTTCTTTTGTCCCACCAAGACAAGGAGGTGTTGCCCAAGGAGGTCTGGGATAGAAGATAGTCTAGAATGCTGTCCTGGCTCTCGGCGCTACTTGTGCTGCCATAACTGGAGCTTAGGACTTGGGAGTCTGGGCTGGAACATGATCGAAAGCTGGAAGAGTCACTATCATCCTCCGAGGTGGGGGAAGGTAACATCTGGTAGGCCCTTCCGCCCATCAACATCTCAGAGGTGAAACCAACAGACGATGGATTGATTGAGAAGCACTCATCTCTACGAAGCAAATGATCCACCATTCCTAGAGGAGCTTCTGAGAGGGGCCTAGCGGCATAAGCAAAGTTGAGAAAAGTGGAGGGGACTCTGAAAAAGAAAAAAGAGCATATATGTCAAATAGGGTGATAACAAACGCATGTAATCCAGCCAATCATCTATGCGCTATGCACTGGTACAGGTATCATACAGATCTCAAAAACGCAGATCAACCATCTATTTTTACCTCCCCAACCCAGGTCGCCTGTGTGAGCCTTACAGGGTTACCTTCACTTCCCATCAAACATTGTAGCAGTACAGGAAGTGAAGGTAAATCTCTCGCAGCCCCCGATAGCAATAAAACCTCATTAGGGGTTCTAATCCTTCCGCACTGTATCCAAAACTAAAAATTGGCTGGACTTTCACTTTGAGTGAACGGCACACCGAGAGTGAATTCCGTACAACACTGGATCATTATCACGGCCACTCACAGAATCAACAAAAACATTATTTGTATGATCGGTGACCTTGCTGCATGTCAATGCCCCCTTTTCTTGGGGCCGGGGGCCCTTTAAGTAAACTCTAAAAGTCATTGCCATACCTATCGGCCAGGAAAGCTCTGAGTACATTCTGTCTCATTACTCATTTGGCCCCCAAAGCGGGTAAATGAAAGGAGGAATGTCTTGCTAATGAGCCGTCTTGATGCAGGGACATACTAGTGTAGCTGAAACTGGCTAACGGTTCGGCGCATGGGGGCCAGATTGCTGGCTCCACTGGGGCACGCAGATAAAGGGCCCTTTCTGAGAAAAAAACACGAGCTTTACAAGAGTACCAGTCATTCCCTCCCCCCGATCATATGAGGGCCGTGACTGTGCATGTATGAAAACCCCAGTCATGTTGCCTCCAGCACAGGCCCCGATTCTTCATGCTACACCGCTAGCTCCTGAACATGAATAGTCAATGGAGGGTTATAGACCACTTTAACCCTCCGGCTTCCAGGGTCGACCTCTGCCCAGTTCAAATTAAAGCAGAACGCAGCGAAAAACCACGTTTATATCTAATGGAAAAAATAAGATGCAATAATTTGCAAAACTAAAAAAATCAGCCTGCGGTCGCTGCTATTGGTCAGCATATCATGGCTCTGATTGGTTGCTGCTGAGTTTATTTTATGCAATTCAGGTGCAAACAGCTGATATTGATCAAATGGCACCTGTATACCTATAGGCTGCAGAGGCAAAGAGGCATCTGTTCCATCAGTACCCTGTTTAACCCCAAAATAAGACCTACCCCGAAAATAAGACCTAGTACTATTATTAGGAATTGCTAAAATATAAGACCTACCCTGAAAATAAGACCTAGTTGTGACCATTCCCAGGACCGGTGGTGGCATAAGGGGGAACTTGAAGTGCCGCAGTAGAGAATCAGCGGTGCCAAAGAAGCCAGCGCTAGAGGAAGCGATGTGGCAGCGGAGGGAGCAGAGCCGCATAAGCCGATGCCTCCTCTATAGCGCCGGCTCCTGTCACAGGCGGAGTCATACCAAATGCACTACGCCTGTGAGGAATCATAGTGAAAGCTTCGCTCATTCTGGCCAGCGATTGGTTAGCAAATTGCTCTCGGAAAGGTACGGCACCCCTGATTGCTCTGATCACCATATTTTTCTACATGAATAAGTGTGGAATGTTGTACATAAAAAAAAAAAAAAGACCTACCCCGAAAATAAGACCTAGTGTGTTTTTTTGAGCCCAACAAAATATAAGACAAGTGTCTTATTTTCGGGGAAACACGGTAATAGAAACAATGGACTGTATATAATGTTATTTACAGATTACTGCAATATTGTACCGTATGTTAGGACCAGGCACCAGGATCAGGACAAGGAGTGTTTTAAGAAGGTGATCTTAATATAGGGGAGCTACTTAGGGTGCCACAGTTGTGTGCCTACAGGCAATCTGGACCCTGGCTTAATGACTGTGTATCATAGACAATTCACATATTTTTTACATACTATCTTTGCCTTATTTTCATCCTTTGTTGCATCTCAGCGCTGCTGAGCTCCTGCAGGTCTGACACGCCGCTTGCTGAGCCAGGACTATAGCTCTGCATCCAGCAAAGCTCATACTCCCTCCCTGATTGGAGAGTTCTAGCTCTGACTCAGCAGTGGGCATGTTGGACCTTTAGAAAGGGACTACTGCTTCCACACAGAGAGCAAGAGTCCTTCTCTGCACTATGCTGGTAGGGGACATGCTTTTCTAATAAGGCTGTGTATATTTGCATTCGTGTTTGGTTAGCAAACACAGTGTTTGAAAAAGAATCCCCATCATCATGAGCCCTTAAAGTGACACTTCTGTCATATGCTGTTGCATATTAATCCCTTTGCTTTGCCGAAAATGCCCCCCCTAATCCATTTGCTTTGCCGAAAATGCCCCCCCCCCCATTCCATACCTACATGAGCTGCAAACGGCAGCAGAGGCACAGGTTGCAGGTCCAAACCTTATTGCACCCCCCTTTTCTGTCGAAGCGTCCAAGGCAGCCGCCACTTCTGCCTATCCCTCGGCCCAGCACTGGGTATATGACCCATTAACCGAATGCGATTTTCCCTGTGGTCACCGAACACCATTTGGACGCCGGTATTAAAGCTGGAAATATTGTTAAAATGTTATCAGTGACTTTGAAGCGTTACTTATTAATCAGAACAGTGACCCTACCAGCATGCCGTGATCCCGACTCAGCCAATCACGATCTCTTTTCTGCGTTGTGACGGACAGGATCTGACACCTCCCATTAGAAAAGTTTTTTTCTCCTTCGAAAAGCTGAGAAGCGCAAGTCGCTCTATACTAGCAATAGGGGGGGCACTGTTTTATTTTGGGGGGAGTAATGTCATTTTATCAAGACTGGTTGTATTCTCAGTACAGCAGATCCATCATCAGGGGAAAAACTAGATTCAGCAAGAGCATATTTTAAAGTATTTTGTATCATTTTGTATCATTTTACATACCAGCTGCTCCAGCGTTTCTTTGCAATGCAGCTCTATGCAATGGCTTTCTTTTTTGTAACTAACCCCAACAATACATTCCCTGTGTTCATTGTTGACCTACACAGGTGCTAATATCATCAGCTGATAGACTTGACAAGTGTTTGTTCTCTAATATTCCTGCAGATAAGAGGCAGCGTGTCGGAGCAGCAGAGTTGGAATACCGGAATCACAGACACCCAGCTGCGGGGAAGGCGATATTATCCTTTAAATCGTCCCAAATGTCTTTTGATTCTGGATGCAATTAACATTTTTCTGTTTGGCAGGATCCATAATGGGAGAGAGAAAAATACTTGCAGCTGAAATTCTGCAACTCCTCCAATTGGGGGATCACACAGAAGGCAGCTGAGATATGGGAATCCATCATGGTCAATGGTGATGTATAAAGAATCTAGAGAATCATATGAAGCATAGTATCAGCTGGGTCATGTGACCACCGCTTCCCTAAAGGCTTGTCTGTAAATCTAAGGTCATCTCCGCCCAAACTGTTACCTTAATTTTGCATGCAAGCTGGTCTGTTGGATCACATGTTGGCTTCCTAGAACTCTCTGAGACTCCAGTGATGATAAGTCCTACCAACTAGCATTCCAAGTCCCACCTACTTACCTTCCGGGTTGTGGTATCCATGTCACCCACTGGATTCTCCATAATGCAAAATCAACAAACATTTTTGGAATCCATCTGGAAGAGTTTGACGCCTTCACTGTGGCCATGTGGGAGAGACACAAACTACGGCAAGGAAATCTCACCAAGGGTGATAGGAAACCAAAGGCTGAATTGACTCATTAGCACCCACCCAAAAGTGAGACATCAGATTAACGTAAACACTGCAGTGACCTGAAGCATGTTAGAGCCCCCTCAGCCTTTTAAGGGTCCCTTTGGTCCTTTTTGTAGCTTACTTGTGATAAGTGAACATCCCTGGTCACATTTGGCCACCTCGCTAACCTCCCTATTGGTTCCCTAATGAGATAGGTAGGTTTGGTGGCCACCAGGGAGACTCGGGACAGCATCAGGGGCTCAAGTTTGACTTTCAGAGGAAGAGTCCAGAATTCTCCTAACTCTTCAGCAGACTGTATCTCTAGATCTAGTTAATGTTTAGACACACGGTTTTACTGAAGGTATCCGCTTATGCATTTTCTCATCACATGCTTAGTTGGAATCGTCCAGGCTAGTGACAGGTTTACTTGTGGACTCAATGCCTACTAGAGGTTGTAACATCACAAACACGTAAGTGAAGAAAGCAATGTTTCATTATGCTGTACATTAGGTAATGCAAGCTCACAGCAGGTGAATGAGGGAGCTGAGCATTTATGCTGGGCCCCCTTCATCCAGGGCCCCAGAACAGTGGTACCCATTGCATTGTCCTCTACACTTGAGGGTCAACAAAGTGTAATACTACTGAGAAGAGGGGAAGAAAGGGGGGAACTGCACATCATTTTTGCAGAACTCCTTGCTTTAGAGTTGGAGCACCAACATTCTTTAACAAAATGGCGGTGTAGTTGGTTCTCTGGTCTATGGTTGTCTAGCTGTTACTCAACCCCATAAGATGGGCTTCATATTGACCCAGTTTGGTCTGTGCCTTTTGAAAATAGAGGTGTCTACAAGGGAAATTTGCTATGGCAAAGTCGATACTTCAGGAGTTGCACATGAGCACAACTGTTGGCCAATCACAACAGAGGCAGGCACACTATTTGTGAAGACTGTTCAGCTGCTTATGGGCCCTCTTGGATTTAGGGGTCCAATGACACAGGATGGCATAGGACAATTCCTGGGATCCCCTCCTGCCGCCACATAGTATTTGGGACTACTAACATCTAGGGCAGATGAGAACCAGGAACCGTTCATCATGATGCTCTCACTCTTCCATTGGACTGTAATGTTAACCACTGGCTCTCTACACGATCAAGTTTGTAAAGCTTAATCGGATCGGTTTAGAAAGTTTCTGAACAACTTCACGAATGTGTCATTTCACCGAGGATACTGAGTCAGAGAAGACAATCAAGTGAAAGTTTTCTAGCTTTCTTCATTGCTTGGCCTGCTGAGATCCAAAAAGTGGACCTTCTTGTTCAAGATCAGATAGGAGTCACTGTAGAAGAAGTGACCGGCCTGTTACAAGTGTACATTCTTGCTTGTAGCTTGGCCTTTAAGTCACCAGGGGTTAATGATAACAAGGGTAACTAAGACACAGGTACACCACTCGTGCCCCCAGGCGTTTGCATTCCACAACTGCTATTCTGGAATTTTTCATCTAATCCTTCTTACAAAACTTCTGCCACGGAAAGCTGAATCCTCCACAAGCGGGCCCATGTTGACTCAACGCTCCTATGAAAATAACTATCAAACGATGGAGAGCGCGGGCCAAATTCTGATGTTTTTGAAGATTTTCATGGGTCCCTTTGCATTTTTGACACATTGCTGGGTGCCTGCGCCACGCTGCTACAGATGTCGGTCTGTTAGTGTAAGCGAACATCTGTACAAACTGTGCGCGCCGCGAGCTCCATTCCCAACGTGCGGGAATGATCTAAACTTTCTGCAGATGGGCTTGGCTACCTCTGAATAATTCACGTGCTCCATTCCAAGGACTGCAAGTCCCGTCCTAACCTTCCGGTTGAAAGGAAAAGCTTTGACCGGAAAACATTGTAAACAATAGTAGCGAGCGGCAACGTAAAAATGTTTTTGAAAAGCCAAAAAAAAAGGTAAAAATAAATGTTGTGCCGGCAAACTCAACTTTTTAAAGTCACGGGCGTTCAATTGTGCGTCACTATGGATGTCGCCGGGCATCTGAAATATGTCCGTCTGGTAACATATGTAGTTGGCTCTGCAAGGGAAAGGATCTGCGAATGTTTACAAAATGGACAAAAATCTAAACTTTTTGTCAGGATTTGTAAAAATTCCTCCAATCCCGGGCTGGCATCCGATGAAAATCCTTTAATTTGGCCGTGGGGTATACGCTCCCTGCCATTAATCTTGCTGTTATTCAACACATATGGAAAAAAAAAAGCACCAAAAGTGCAACTGTATTGATCACGTGTTGCTGCGGCCTCTCGGGTTGCACACTTAAATCCCATTAGCGGCATTTTGTAGCATTTCCATTTCCCGAAGGGGGAAAAAAAAAATCTATAAAGCACACAATGCGATTAAAGTACACTAATCATGACAGGTGTGAACTTCTCAGAAAGTGATTGCAAAAGGAAATATGTAAACCCAAAGTTAATGACACAGCGCTTTTACTCAATAAAACTGTAAAATATGCGCCGCCAAAGTTCTGCAAACTCTGATGAGTGCCTTCACCTTATGTTTATCATTACAAAATGCTGTTAAGGTTTAACTTTGGATGCCGCAGCTCCTTCGCCAATCTGATGATTCTAAAGACAATTACTGGAAATCAGATTCCTCCGAACAGGTGAAAAATCAACATTTTTTTGCGCTGAATCCCCAAGGCCGCGTAGCGTAGCGGCTTGGCGGGGGTTAAGCAGCGGCGTTGTGACGGTTAAGGCGGATTAGCGTTGGTGCTGTTTGTGAATGGCTCATTGTACAGCCTGTTATCTCCAGAACAGCTCTGCCAACTGGTCGCCTCTCAGCGCTGCCACCAGGGGTACCAGCACCTGGCACTGCTAGTGTTAAACCCCATGCACATGGGACAAATACAACATATTGAGCGCATTGATCCAGTGGATATATGGATATATGACCAATATCTGATCGTTCAGGGATCATTACATGATTATTTATAGGGGGAGGAATGTGAAGAACGATGAATTCCATATAATAACGTGACTGAAAGAAAGAACTACTGCAAAATATATTCATATATAAGTATATAGCTACTATGACATATGATATCTATCCATGTATCAATCTATTCATCTATCTATTGTCTATCTATTGTCTATCTATCGATCATTCAATCTATTTATTGATCTATCTATTGTCTATTGTAATTTGTAATTCTGTACTGACTGTAGAGGAAACTGTGCTGCCAAACCTTGTAAATATGGATACAAAGTGTCCTATCATCTATTCATCTATTACCGATCATCTATCGATCGATCGATCAATCAATCAATCGATCTATTGATCTATCTAATGAATAAATAAATAAATAGATAGAAATTGAGATAGATAGATAGATAGATAGATAGATAGATAGGATATTTTGT